ATATGTTGGGCTTAATAAAATGTTGTTGACTTTATCTCACCTATTCCTTTTTACTTTTAAACTGTGTCTACTATTGTTGCTGCTGTGTACCATAGAGTCAGAACCGAACCATAGATGACACTCCAGTGGGTTTTCAGAGGCAATTAATCCCACAGTGGGAGTCTGTCCATCCCTCTTCTGCAGAGCTGCTGTTGATGTTGAACTGCGTCCCTTAGGGATTGCAGTGTAGCTTCTTCCCATTAGGCCACCAGAGCTCCTGCATGTCCTAGAAAACTAAAAATTATGTAAGTGACTTACTATATTGTCATTGGATAGCACGGATATAGAACTTGCTGGCTAGTAGGTAAATTTAGAGAGATTTGTATATATTGACAATCAGTAAGCTTTTCACTTTTTTATTTTCACCATTATTTCAGTTGACTTGACCTGGGAATGCATAACTTGCAAAGATCAAGATTAACCAATTAAGTCTAGTGACTCCTGTAAATGCCCACATTAGCCAGTAAGTTCTGTAACAGTGCTGGCCATACAGAGTAAGCCACTTGTACAATTTTTAAAGTTCTCTAGAAAGCACATTTCAAAAGCAAAAAAGGTGAGACAAACTTAATAATTTCACTTAACCAAATAGACCCAAAATGAGGTGATTTCCGTGTATAACCAATGTAAACATTATTAGTATTATGTCACATGCTTTTTTTATTTTGCTTTTGAATTCTAGTCTTACTGTTATGCTTATTAACTAGAACAACTCAATTTAGACACACTGTGTATCAAGTACCTAATAATGGTCCCATATTGTTATTGAATACTATATTGGACAGTTCAACTCTACACTGTTGGGTTATTGTCTCCAGTTATAACTTGATAAATACTTGGTACTTTCTATGAAAATAATAGAGAATGCTGGTGGCTTAGTGCTAAGAAGTTGCACTGCCAACCCAAAGGCATGTGATTTGAATCCACCAGCTGCTCCATAGGAAAATGATAGGCAGTCTCCTCTCAGGTAATTTGCTCTGAAAATTTGCTGGAGGGTCAACCATGAGTCGGTTTCAATTTAATGGCACTGCTACAACAACAACATGAAATTATTATATTATACATGCTATTTGTGGTTGAAACAAATACATTTAAAATTTACAAAAAAAATGCAATGTTTTAACTTTTTAAAAAGTTGCTGTTATAAAATATATATCAAATGGGGAAAAGAAAATGAGGTAAAGAGTAGACAGAACAGGACACCAGTTTTCTATTTTGAGGCCCAAACACAAAAGGATTCTTTATGGAGAAAAAAAAAATAAAATAAAAGTAGGCCACTGGGTTGATGAACACGCAGAAATTTTAGAAATTTCAATAGCTGAAAATATTGATTTACCAGAGTTCAGAAGAGAAGTTGACGGTGAATTTATAGGACATTGTGATGGATGTCATATCAAAGTGGGTACTGTCAACCAAGCACAGCACAGAAGTACTTGACTGAAAGCGAGCACTGAGAAGCATGGACTATGAAATGAACAAATGCCTCCTGGGAAAAGCTACATCTAAACAGTCCTGAAGTGCATGTGTGAATAACTTGATGAAAAGAGGAGGAGACATACATCCAGGCAGAAAGAGAACCTCATTTCCCGCAATCTCTCACTCACACAAGAACAACACTCCAGGTATGTTTTCTTCTCCTTCCTACGTCATCATTTTCCTCTGATCAAAAGTTCCATCACCATACATACATGTAGCTTTCTTCCAATCTTGAAACACAATAAACAAAGAGAATTCTTTGATTTCACATCCACTTCACGCAACCTTTCAGTTTTGCTTATCTTTGTGAAAGAACTTCTGAAAATCCTAAAATTGCTTCTATTTACCAAGTCCTCTCAATCTTTTAAACACATGACTTTTCTGTCATTGTTGATATCCATTTATCAGAGAATCCGAGTCACAGGCGTCTTGACATCATGGCACATAACAACTATGACATCTAGAACTCAAGGAGTGAACAAACGTTAGACCTCCAGACAGTGAATTAATCAAGGACTTTTCCCCCACAACTAAAAGTGGAAAAAAGAATTTCCCTAAAGCTAGTATTCTGAGTTTCGATATTGTTGTTGTTAGGTGCCAGAGAGTCAAGTACAACCAATAGCGACTCTATGAAAAACAGATCTAAATCCTGTTCTATCCTGAGCCATCTTCACACTTCCCGACAAAGGAGAGCGCATTGCACCAGTAACTATGTCAATCTACCCGGTCTGTTCCAGGGTTTTCCTCTCCTTCACCGACTTTCTACCTTTCCAGACATCATATTCCTCTCCAAAGAACAGCCCGCCGAAGAAAAAGGCCCCAAGTATGTGAAGCCTTATCATCATCGTTTCCTCTAAACAGCACTCTGGCTTCACCTTTTTCCAAGACATATTTATTTATTTTTTGGCAGTCCGTGGGATGTCCAATTCCCTTCTCCAACACCACAGCCTCAAACCAGTCCTAGAAGGATGACGTGTCTGAACTCCAGAGGCTGAACCCTGTTAGGGTCTGGCGAGATGCGACCAATTGGGCCTGCGCATGCGCATCTATGCACGCAGCAGGCGAGTAATGGTGTCAAGAGGCTGTTGTTCTGCGTTCCACTTCTCCAGGCTTTTTGTTATTGCCTGGCTTTGGAGCCCAAAGAGGTAGTTGAATTTTAAACCTTGAAGCCGTGGGAGAATATTTATCGCTGGCCAGGTCAGACCATGGACGCTAAGGGCTAATAATCTAGTAATGACGGAGAAATAGCTTCTGGAAAACCACAATCACTGTGTTAGGGTTCCGCAGAAAAGCTTTTTGTGTAGAAGCCTGGGTCCAAAATGTTTTCATGGTGGTCCCAAGACTATCGCCTCCAGGACTTTGATTTTTAAAATGTGTGAAATGGTCATTTTTATAAGATTGCAGTTCTTGCAAATTTCAAGATTTTGAGTACAGGAGTGACATGATCTAAGGTTCAGAGCATTCTTCTGGATACAGTGTTCATAACTGATTCTCAGAGAACAAAAGAATGGGTTTTTTTTTAATTAATTTTAATAAAAGTTTACAGAGACTTAGGGTTTCCATTCATTCATTGTTGCACATTTCTCCCTGCTCATACCCTCCCCTCAATTCACTCTTCTCTTTGAAAAGTAAAAGAAAAATTCTTTCATTTTTATAAAATCCCTCCCCCCAAGTCCACTCTACTGTGCAGCTTTCATTCTAGAATCCTGTCATGACAATAATACCTAATCACATATCACTGTTAAACAGTTCTCTCCCTCATCTGTTTAATATATCATTTAGGAAGACCTCTCGGGTGATGATATGGATTGAACTTTGTCCCCTCCAATATGATAGAATGTGGAAACTATGCAATGAACCCCCATGACCTTTGTAAACCAAATTGTTGTGGAGGATTCTGCTTCTTTATGCTTATCCATGTGGCTTACTAAAGATGAGTAATACATTGTAATCACGTTTAACACACAATTGACATTATAAGCCATTTCACCTCACCCTTGACATAAGGATCAAAGCATACAGCCTTCAGTAATAGATTGCATCTCAATGTCAAGAAGACAAAGATTCTTTGATAGTGAGTTTGAATTAGAATTAGAAAGCAAGAACATTTCCAGTAGACAGAACATCACATAAAAAAAACCAGCAGACATAAATAAAAAGTAAATATACAGAATTACAAGTCAAGCAGTTCACTGTTGCTGCAATATCAAACAATAAGGTTTGTGGTTAAGAGACCTAAGTGTCGGAGGTGAGACAACAAAGTTTGAACTGTATTTAGAGGGGAGTCAGATCATAAACGCCTTTGTATTTGTTTATTAGTTCCTTTGCAGTTTCAGTCTAACTTTACAGCAATATATTAACCATATCAATTTGAGAAACCTTCTGAACAGAGACAAAACAATATTTGGAAAGGATTTTGAGTTCTCTGAGTTAAATATATGAAAGGGAAATCCCAGACTCACATTTAATCTGACAAGGTAAGGGAGTGGGTGTGTTACTGTATCACATTTCCTTTGTGCAAATTCATCATCTCTCCTAATCTTATTCCTGATCTACCACGTTTAGACTACTTTAGAAGGCCTTTATCTCCCTGTCTAAACACAGATTAGCTTACAGCCAGCTTCAGGCTTGCCATTGGTCAGTCACATTGATACCCAATTAAATACATAAGGTGTGAGTCATACCTGATTTTGTATAAAAGGTGAACTTGAAGCTTGTCTAAATCCACTGCTTTTCCAGGCAAGATAGTCAGCACAGGTAAGCATCGGCATGGATACTTATGTGATAGATACTTTTGAGATGACAGTTTTTCTTGTGACTTGGGTAAGAAATACAGAACTTTCCCTACTCTTGTGTAAGAATTTAAGAATTCTATGTATCTATGTGTCTTCTTAAATATGGGTAATACCTTGGAATCACTTTTAGCATACAATTGACTTTATCAACCATTTCACTTAACCCTTGACATAATCTTATTTTCAAAAGAGATAGGTAAACATACATATAAATATTTATGAGGTGCTAAGAATGAAAAAGTAATTTTGTATTACTGAATTATCATTTCTTTTTCCCTAGCAAAAACTAATCTTTAGATGTAAAAATGAGAAGGTAGGTTTGGATTCTTTGGGGTTTGGTTTGTTTGTTTGTTTGTTTGTTTTTTGAAAGGACACCTCTACCAATCACAATTACTTGCTTCAGAGTAATCACTTTAAGACAGAGAATCAAATATTTACATACAGGGGTGGCTTAAAATATTTTTTTAAAAGTATTTTGTTAGTTTTTAGCTATAATGTATTACAACTTTAACCAAAAGAAAGAAAAGTAGGAAAAAGATAAAAAGCAGTAAAGAATTAAAAGGAAAGTTAACTGAAGCAAAATATGGACAGAATGAGCCAATCTGTGTTGATTTAGTCAGTGTGCATGACAATTACAATTCTGTGATGTCAAGGTTTCTAATGAGCCCTATGTGTTCTTGTTCCCAGCCCAAGATGAAGTCCATTCACTTTTGCTTCCTCTTCTGTGGCTGGATAGCAGTGTGCTGGGGGCAGTGTGAACTAACCAACATGACCATTGCAGTAGAGAAAGAGGAGTGCCGCTTCTGCATATATGTCACCACCACCGGGTGTGCGGGCTACTGCTTCACCTGGGTAGGAAATTTGTTTTACTGAAAGTAAGAATGTTGAGTGTCTTTCTAATACAGGTATCATTAATGTTATTTCATTAATACTTTGTTTCTCTCAAGTAACAGTCTTGGGCCCCTTAGCCAACAGAGACTGAATTGTTATTAGATTTCATTATCATGATATTGTTTAGATGTTTTTAGTTACACTTGATTTGGGTAAATTTAAGACAGCCTCAGATTGATAAAATTCATCAATTCAATGATATGTCAACACTGACTTTATAAAAAAAATAAATAAAAGCATGCAAGGATAGTAGGATTTACATAGACAGATAGAGGCATATAAACCTATTTATTCGTAGAAGAGATATAGTACTTTGCAATACAGATAGGACCAAAATATGATGCTAAGTTGCATAAAAGCACAAACAGCCAAATATAAAACTTGTCCACTGGGTCCTTCTGAAAACATCAATGAATGTCTGAGGACACAGTCAATCCTTTAAAGACAGGTAGAAACAAACAAATGAACAAGCACACCCCACGCTATACTGTGTTCAGAAAACCAAGATACAGAGGAATGAAACTACTTATCTGCATTCTTCATGTTTTTCTTCATTAATCTGAGTAAAGAGATTATTCCTTTACTTTTTATGGATCATTAATATGTATTTTTAACACTGGATTATGAATAATGTCATTCTATAAAGTAAATCTTAAATTATTTCTATGACATATATCTTACTTTAAATATTAGTAAATAGTTTGATTACACAATGTCAATTATTGCATAACATATTGCATCCTATTGGTATATAAATGAAGGTGGAGGGTAAGAGAAAGAAAGAAATAGCCTAGACAAGATGTATTGACACTGGAACAACCACTCTAGAAGGCAGTTTGGCCCTTCCTCAAAAAGCTAAACATGGAAATTCCATATGACCAAGCTATTAAACTGCTTGGAATGTACCCCAAGAAAATGAGAACTGAGGTACAAATGGAGACTTGTACACCAATGTTCATAGCATAATTGTTCACCATTACAAGAACATGGAAACAGCCTAGATCCAATTACATTCAAATGGACTGAGAAATTATGGTTCATTCACACAACAGAATACTATGCAGCACACGGGAGCAATAATTTTATAAATTATTACCTAACTTGGGAGAGACTGGAGAGCATGATACTGTGTGAACGCAGTTCCATAGGACCAATACTGTATCAAGCTATTATTGTAGAATGAGTATGAGGATCCAAGAGGTGGGAGGGAGAGTGGAAGCAGAGAGGTGAGGATTGGTGCATGGGGGTGGAGTTAATCATGGGGTCGAAAGATATGATGGGGGGGTGATGGAAATGGGAAGGAACTGGTGTGAAAAACAATGTATTTGAATTTTGTAAATAAACTCGTATAATGATATTGTATTGACACAGTGACTATACTTATGGGCTTGAGTTTATCAGAGATGGTGAGGATAGTACAGGTTGAGACAAGGTTCAGGACTGCTGTCTATAGGGTTCCTATGAGTCATAGTTGATTCAATGCACATAACAACAACAACAACAACATGGGGATGTAGACTCTGTAACATGGTATTTAGATGCATTCAACCAGTAGTCCCAACTTCTTTCTTCAAGATAAACAATTTTTCACTGATGTTATTGTCGGGTACCATAGAGTAAAAACCGACCCATAACTCACCATCTAGGGGGTTTTCAGAGGCAGTCAACGGCACAGAAGGAGATTTTTCATCCTTCTCTCTCAGAGCAGCTGGTGGCCTCGAACTACCTCCATCTGGGATTGCTGCACAGTTTCTCTCACTGGACCACCAGTGTTATATCCTTTTCATAATTTTATATATTTTTCATGTCATACAATTATACTTCCTTGTGATCTTTTTTCATACTCAAATGCAAATCTCCTTAGAATTTGAGAATAATTTTTTGACTTAGCCATGGAGAGTACGAAAAGCATATAGAATATGTGAGACTGTTAGGTTTTCAGAATAATCAGAATATATCATGTGACAGGTAGATCATTTGGACAAGACTAGTGTTCCCACCCCTGAATGTCAAGCCAATGGTTAAATATTTTCTGAAGTCAAGTTTTCCTTGGTCAGAAATTCCATAAGTACCTTTAAATATGTTAACATTAGAACAAGCGGTAATCATTGTCTTTTTTTTTTTTTTTTGAGTGAACTAAACAGAAACTTCCAGGACATTATCATCTAACTCTTCCCTTCTTTAACTCTTCAGGACTTGGTATATAAAGACGCACTCAGGCGCAACAGCCAGAGAGTATGTACCTTCAAGGAGCTGGTCTACGAGACCGTGAGAGTGCCCGGCTGTGCTAACTATGCAGACTCCCTGTATACGTATCCAGTGGCCACTGAGTGTCACTGTGGCAAGTGTGACAGCAACATCACTGACTGCACTGTTCATGGCCTGGGGCCCAGCTACTGCTCCTTCGATGAAATGACGGAGTAAAGAACAGTGACATCTCAGACTGCCTACCTGGTGGTCCTGGGGGCCAGGACAACAAACCCATCAACATGTGTCCAATATGCTCAGACTACAAACTGTTGTGGACCAGGAAGTCCTAAGACCCCACTGATATTTGCTCTCCTGGTATGACTGGGGCACCCAGGATTGAGAGGACTAAGATCAGGATCCTGTCACCACTCTGTATTTCTAGGTCTGGCTCTGCAAGAGGCATTGGATCTTAGCTCACAGACCCTTGACCCCTTTCCTGTTTAGTCAGCTTATCATAGGTAGGTTTAACTGAGTCAACCCTGCCTTGGAGATACCCTATCTACAACAGATTGGAACCCTACTTGATCCTGCCAATCCACACAATCTATGCTCAAACCAGTACTGTAGTATCATAGGAATCTATCTTGTTGAGGGTCTTCCTCTCCTTTGCTGACCTTCCACCTTTCCCAAGCACAATGTCCTTTT